GCTGGTCAAGGCAGGAGCAGAAGGTTTTTTGCCTCCTCCCCCCCAAAAAAAGTGCTCACCTTGGCTTTTCTTCCAGACGGCGTTGGAGCCGGGAGGGCCGGGCAGGCAGGGCCGGGGGCGATGCTGGGCAGGGGGCTGGGCCAGCCCCAGGGCCGTGGGGGGCACGTAGGAGAGGAAAGAGCCCGGCACTGAGGAAGGGGGTGGTCCTGAGAACCGACTCAAGGATGGTGGGCCGAAAAGGTTGGGTTCCAGCAGCGGGAAGGGGTGGGAGGTGGGGGAGAGCAGGGAGCCCGGCAGGTCGGGCAGGGCGGCTTCGGTCTCCTGGGGTCGGATCATGTTAGGAAGCTTGGGAAGCCCTTCAGGTGGTTTGACCGGGGTTTCTTTTTCCAGGGTGGAGGAGGAGGTAGCAGGTAAAGAGGGTCTGTCAGCTCGGGGAGGGTGAGGGGGGTTGGTGGTGCTGTCAGAGCAGACGTGAAGGTGTTTGAAGAGAGAGCGGTGTGTCCGGAAGCGCAGCAGGCAGTTCTCACATCTGCAGGGACAGACAGGGGGCATTGAAGGGTGACAGTCCCCTCTGCATCACACCCCCACACCCCCACCCCCTGCCTCCACACCCCCTCCAGGGTTTGCCTCCAAGATGTGGGGTGGGGGTGTCTGCACAGGTGGGAGCTGCAGTGCCTGGGGATGCTTGGGAGCTGCTGGGTGACCCCCCAGGGAGGATGTGAGGGTGGAGGTGGGTGCAGGGAGGTGGGAGAGGGGCAGGGGATGGGGAAGGGGACCAGAGGGACTCACTTGAAGTAGCGGTTTGGCTTGTAGTGCACCTTCATGTGGGCCATGAGGTCCTGCATGCTGGGGAAGGTCTCTGTGCAGCCCAGCGTGGGGCACTGGAAGGTTTTGCCTGAGCAAAGAATCGCAGAAGGGTTTGAGTTGGAAGGGACCCTAAAAGATCATGCAGTTCCAACCCCCTTGCATGGGCAGGGACACCTCCCACCAGCCCAGGTTGCTCCAAGCCCCATCCAACCTGCCCTTCAACACTGCCAGGGATGGGGCAGCCACAGCTTCCCTGGGCAACCTGTTCCAGGCTCTCACCACCCTCACAGGGAAGAGTCAGCAACAACCTGGCTGTGCTGCACCCCCAGGGCTGCCCCACCAACAGATCTCCAGCACCTCCCGTGCCCTCCCCACTCCCACCCAGTGCTGGGGAGCATCTCCTGGAGGCACAGGCACCATCACCAGCTCTGGCTCAGCTGCAAGCCCCACTTTGCCAGGCCCCCCCAGGAGCAAGGCAGCGTGTCCCGGCCTCACCCTCGAGGGACTGCGTGGGTCTGTAGTGAACCTTCAGGTGGTCCATCAGCTCCTGCATGCTGGGAAAGGCCAGTTTGCAGCCGTAGCTTGAGCACTGGTAATGCTTCCCTGGAAGGAGACAAGATGAGTTGGCCTGGTCCCTGCCCTGGTGTCACCTCCCTGGGCAGGGCTGGGCTCGGGCTCACCTGGGACAGGTCTGCGCTTCAGCAGGCGCAGCTCCTGGGCTGGGGTCCCTGCAGCCTTCAGCATGGGCAGAGCCACCTCGCTGCAACCTGCCAGGGAGAGGCTGTTGGGAGCAGGTACAGGCAGAGCAGGCAGCACAGGCAGCGTTGAGCCTCAGCCCCTGCCTAAACCACCTCCTTCTTCACCCTCCTCCCTGTCCTTCAGGGAACCAGGCAGGCTCTGGCTTGGGAGGTTGTCATGGTTGGACTCAGGATCAGCAGCTAAAGGTGCTGGAGAGGGAGGAGCCCTCCAGGGTGGTAAGAGGTGCTCTAGAAAAAGCTGATGAAGGCAAAAGCTGCTGGTGCCTCCAACGTGTTGGGTGATGCCCCATGGACACCCTCAGGGTGCTCCCAGCCACCCTTCTGGGGTGGGATTTGCCCAAAGGGGCCTCAGAGTCACAGCAGCAAAAGCTTCTCCCTCCCATCCTGGCCTGACTCCTCTCACCAGCCTCTCCCCAAGGCACAAGGGACTCACCTGCCCCCTCTCTGGTATATTTACCCCCCAGGGGGAAGGTGGGCACAGCCTCATCCTTCTCTGTCTTCATGGCCTGGTCGGGATGGGCACAGGGTGAGGAACGTGTCACCAACAGGGTCTTCTCCTGGAGATGCTGCACCAAACACAAGGGCAGGAGTTTAAATGCTGGCATGGAGAGATGGTGACTGCCTCCCTCTCCTCCTCCTCCTCAGTGTCCTGTGGCTCTGGGACTGACCCTCCTGCCCAGGGACCTCCCAGACCAAAGTGGCAGGAGATCCTGGTGTCACTGGGGCTCTGCAGCATTTCTGTGGGCAACCTGGGGGTTTTGTGGGTGACCCCCCCAAGGGGAGCAGCTGCTGGACCTTGAATCATAGAATTGTTTGAGTTGGAAGGGGCTTTTAAGATCATCTAGATCCAACCCCCCTGCATGGGCAGGGACACCTCCCACCAGCCCAGGCTGCTCCAAGCCCCATCCAACCTGCCCTTCAACACTGCCAGGGATAGGGCAGCCACAGCTTCCCTGGGCAACCTGTTCCAGGCTCTCACCACCCTCACAGGGAAGAGTCAGCAACAACCTGGCTGTGCTGCACCCCCAGGGCTGCCCCACCAACAGATCTCCAGCACCTCCCGTGCCCTCCCCACTCCCACCCAGTGCTGGGGAGCATCTCCTGGAGGCACAGGCACCATCACCAGCTCTGGCTCAGCTGCAAGCCCCACTTTGCCAGGCCCCCCCAGGAGCAAGGCAGCGTGTCCCGGCCTCACCCTCGAGGGACTGCGTGGGTCTGTAGTGAACCTTCAGGTGGTCCATCAGCTCCTGCATGCTGGGAAAGGCCAGTTTGCAGCCGTAGCTTGAGCACTGGTAATGCTTCCCTGGAAGGAGACAAGATGAGTTGGCCTGGTCCCTGCCCTGGTGTCACCTCCCTGGGCAGGGCTGGGCTCGGGCTCACCTGGGACAGGTCTGCGCTTCAGCAGGCGCAGCTCCTGGGCTGGGGTCCCTGCAGCCTTCAGCATGGGCAGAGCCACCTCGCTGCAACCTGCCAGGGAGAGGCTGTTGGGAGCAGGTACAGGCAGAGCAGGCAGCACAGGCAGCGTTGAGCCTCAGCCCCTGCCTAAACCACCTCCTTCTTCACCCTCCTCCCTGTAGATCCAACCCCCTGCATGGGCAGGGACACCTCCCACCAGCCCAGGCTGCTCCAAGCCCCATCCAACCTGCCCTTCAACACTGCCAGGGATGGGGCAGCCACAGCTTCCCTGGGCAACCTGGGCCAGGCTCTCACCACCCTCACACTCCACAATTCCCTCCTCATGTCTCACCTCAATCTCCCTCTGCCACTTTTCATCCATCCCCCCTTGTCCTCTCCCTCCCTGCCCTTGTCCCAAGCCCCTCCCCAGCTTTCCTGGAGCCCCTTCAGGCCCTGTCATTTGTCACCTTCTCCAGGATGGTGCCCAACACTTTTTATTCTCTAGGACCCTCCGCTCTGCAACCCTGAGCACGATGCTCCAACCCAGGTGCCACTGACCTGCCAGTGTCCCCATCCCCACTGACCCCCAGGTGACCATTCAAGATGTGACCCCCCCAGTACCACTGTCCCCATCCCCACTGACCCCCAGGTGGCCACTGGAGATGTGACCCCCAAAGAGTCAGTGCAAACCCTGCCCTGGAAACCCAGATCCTGGAGCCACCACAAATTCAGTGTCACTTTCTGAAGGGTTTTCCTGGAGCAGGTTCAGCATCCCTGAAAACCTGCTGGCACCAACCCCCCCTCCCTCCCTGGCAAAATCCTTTTTCAGGGGGGGGAACTGATGGTGATGGGGTGAGCAGGAGGGTTTGCAGCTACTGGTCACTTGGAGCAGCTGCTGGTGCTGAGTCAGTTAATAATTAATACAGCTCATTTCCCCCAAACAAACCAGGGGCCTGACATGAATCTCTAAGCACAGGAGGCTTTTAAAACCCCAACCCCGGGAGGATAAACGGGATGAACAACCCTAGAGGAGCATCCCTGGGTGAGTTTGTGGCCAGAGGCTGCCAAGGTTTCCCGAAATGCAGCTCCTGGTGTAGGAGCTGGGAGACAAAAGGCTGGGAACAAGGGCTCATGTGATGGAGGGGAGAGGAGGGAGGGATGGGGGGGAGGGAGCAGCCACAGGCTGTGACAGCAGCACCGCCCCACCACTGCCTCTGGGCTCCCAAGGCCTGTTGGAAATTCAAATGCACCTTAAAAACACCCCCGTTGCCTTCAGACATCACAGGGAGCTCTGCCAAGGTCGGGGAAGGGGGGCAGAAGGGAGATGCTCTGGGGGATCACAGCTCTGAGCTTCGGGATGCCCCCCAGAAGAAGGTGGGTGCCCTCACCCTGACCTGGGGCAAAGCCTTCCTGGTTGACCACCTTGTTCTGAGGGCAGGTTCCCTGCTTTCCTGTTCCAAGAGCTGCCCAGAGTGCCCCACGGAGCTCCCCTGGACATCCAGAGGGGTGAGCACTGAGCCTGGTGCTGTGTCCTCGTGGGAGATGCTCAGCCAGTGGTTCCTTGGGAAGCACCTTGCAGCCCCAGCTGCCTGTGGTCCCTGCCTGCCCCCCCTCTTTTGGTTGCTCCAAAGCCACCAGCAACCCTGGGGGCACGTGAGGAGGGGGAGAACCTGCCATCCCCCCATGTCCCTGCACCACCCTGGTGCCCACCTGCTTGCCCAAGGTGACC